TTTTCCCTTTGGGGCCCCGCCCTGGCCCCTAGGGTTGGGGTAGGAATCCCAATTTTACAATTTGGTATCCTCATCCTCCAAGGATGATTCTGACCAAGTAAAAATAATTTCCAAAACGAAAATTGTCAAAATATACCCAAAAGTGTTATTTCCCTATATAAACTATAGTAAACTTTACCCCCTCCCCAAGGGAGAACGGATAGCTCGGGGGTCCTGAAATTTACAATTTTAAGAAAGCCCCTGATGATCTTTCCATCCTTGCAGAGAAAATGACTGTAATACCTCTGAATCTGGAGATGAAGATGTTTGAAATATTCGTTAATTTTCCCTTTTGGGCCCCGCCCTGGCCCCTAGGGTTGGGGTAGGAATCCCAATTTTACAATTTGGTATCCTCATCTACCAAGGATGATTCTGACCACTGGTTCTTGAGAAGAAGTTGTGAAGTTTACGCACGACGCACGACGGACGACGACGGACGGAAAGTGATTGGAATAGGTCACTTGAGCAAAGCTCAGGTGACCTAAAAATACATGAGAAATCCAGGTGAAAGTCATGATAGCTTTCACTATTGTTTTTAAGTAAACAATTAAATGTTCTAAACATCCTTTTTTATTATTTGCTTTTCTCATATCTGGACAGCCAGAACACAGAGTATGTATCATGAAAAGCATTTATATTTTTGATTCCTTTGAGCTTTCCCACTCCCTTTACCTGACCTACAGATATACAATTATTGGAATCATCAGAATTTATAATGAATAAATGCAGCATAAAAATTGCTGCAGAAAATGTGCCCTAATAAAAAAAATCATTAAAAATACACTTGTATCTTGGTTGAATTATTGTAATTACAAAATAACGAGAAACAAAAAATATCTTGCATTCCAGAAAAATCAAAAGTTTTAAGTTTCTTTGAAGGTAAAAAGAAGGGTGCTTGTCTGATGGAACCCATCACAGATTACCGGTACAGTCCTAAACTTGTAACACCTTTAAAACTTAATCTCAGCTCTACAAATGGGACATATTTCCAGCTGTCTAGCGCACACTAAGCATGCAGCAACATGGCCACAACTTATAAATGCACAGTCTCTCTCTCGTTCCATGCAGATATTACATGTTGTATCTGCAAATAAATAAAAACAAGGAAATTACAGGACAAGAGATCCCAGATGGATCTTGGCGCCCACCATTGTATAATATTTATTGGTTTTCACTTTTCTACTTTTCTAGGTAACACTTATCTGTTCTATTGACAATAACAAGTGATATTAAAAAATATGACTACTTTTTTCTGATATTAGCAAAATTGAACATGCAAAAAAGGGACAAAGAAGAACCTACAAACTTTAGAAATAGCAATATTAAACCAATTTCAACATCAAAGATGGTCGCCTCTCAAGAAATAGAATAACAAACTTCAACTATCAGAGTCCAAGATGGCCACCTGTTGGCCATTTTGTTTATGAACTTACATGTCAAGTTGGAGAAATATCTTTCCTGGTCCCGGAATCTCGAAACTTCTTAATTCTCAATTCTTAACTTTAAGCATATGCTTAAAGCTAAGAATTGAGAATGGTTTAAGAACCTTTGAGATACACTTTTTTTAAGTATATGCTTAACGTTAAGCATATGCTTAAAGCTAAGAATTGAGAATGGTTTAAGAACCTTTGAGATACACTTTTTTAAGTATATGCTTAACGTTAAGCACTAAGAATGAGTTTAAGAAGTTTCGAGATTCCGGGGCCAGTACTTTTCAAAAATTAGTGATAACAATGATTATTTATGGATGGGTGGGCGATGAAAGAAAGGCAATTTGAACAACCCACCATCAGATTCTGGTGGGCTAAAAAGTGCAAAATATGCTGTGATGGTTGTTCTGAAATAGATTTCTAGTCCTTATTTTTCATATTTTGATCAGCCTGACTGGTTGTTGTGGACTGCGCCGATTCCCCTTGATTTTGCAGCAGACAGAAACCCCCGAAATATTTCCATTCTTTCTGAATGCATTTGTTCTTTCCGAGCACTCTCATTTTCATACCTTTCTTGTTGATTAGATATAAAATTAGATAAGACATTGATAACTTCTGATGCATGAGACTTCCTTTGTTTTGGTTTGGGTTCACTGCCATCTGATGACCTTTTACCTTTAATAGGAGATATTTTACTGCTCTTTACTGGTTTTTCACCATCAGAATCTGATGTCTCGGTAGACTGTTTGTTTGCTGAGCTGTCAGAGCAAGCTACATATAAAGGATTGAAATTAGGCTTGTTTGAAATGAATGCAAATTCATTTGCATAAGGATGAGATTTGCTATCATTGCCTGACTTGTTATTGTGATCATTTACATTTTTTGGACCTCTTA